CACGAGGAAAGAAGCAGGAGGAGGAGGAGGAGGAAGAAGGAAGAGGAGGAAGAAGGAAGAAATGCATGAGGAGGAAGAGGGATCTGAGGAGGGGGAGAAGGAGGAGAAGGAGGAGGAGGACGAGGCGGAGCAGGAGGAGCTGACAGGGAGCAGGAGAGCCAGGAGGAGGAGGAGGAGGAGGAGGCCGGACAGGCTGGAGGCGCACAGGTCTGCGCGACTGTCGCGCTGGCTCGACGGAAAAGGTGCGCCGGCACAGGCCTGAGCACACGCGGGCACCCGGCCAGCCCGCTCGGGGCGGGCGGCCCGTCACCAAGGGCGCCTTCGAGGGCGCGCAGTTGTGCGCGCCTCGCGCTGCGCGGTTCGGCTCCGATTCCTCCTCGTCCTCCTCTTCTCCCCTGGGAGGCGGCGCGAAAGCGCGAAGCTATTTAATCGCTTCGCTCATTCCGCCGGCCCTGGAGCGCTATTTGGGGCCTCTTGGGGCCGTCTTGGGGGCCTTTTGGGGGCTTCTGGGGAGCGTCTTGGGGCTCCTTGGCGGCGTCTTGGGCTCCCCTGGGGCCTCTTAGGGGGCTCTTGGGGGCCCCTTGGGGCGGGAGGGAGGGTAGTCGATTGCAGCCACCCCCTCGGAGGCCACGATCCTCGTGAGGGGTGGCGGAAAATAGCCGCCTCCCCCCTGGGGATCGCCCGGGACCCGGCCGGGGATCGGCCGGGGTACTTTTCGTCCGGGGGCCCCCAGGGGCCGCCCCGCGCGCGTGAACTAGAAATATTGTTAACGTCCTCCTCTTCTGCCCTGGGAGCCGGCGCGAGAGCGCGAAGTTATTCGCACTTCGCGCCTCGCGCAGCGCGAAGCGCGAAGTCGGGAGCCCTTGGTAGCAGGGGGGGCCATCAGGAAGCTGTACGGTCTGACCACGCGGCCGTGACCGGCCGAGGGCTAGGCCGCGACACGCCCCCGTTACAAGGATTTTGGCAGGTGCTCCGTTTCGGCCTGCCGACGGCCCGATACGGCCCAAGAGCCCTTAAAGATCGCCCAAAGATCGCCCAAGAGGCCTCCAAGATGGCCCCAGAACGGTCCAAGAGGCCCCCAAGACGGCCCCAAGAGGCCCCCAAGACGGCCCTGGAGGCTTTTGAGCATCGAGCGGGAGGTCATCGTCTTCTGCACGAAGAGGCACAGCGACCTGCGGTAGCCGTCTGCCACCGCCAGGCGCGGAGAGGGACGCGCTTGCGGCATCGGCGGCTTGGGGGAACAGCGGGGGCACCTCCCGAGGGTACGGCGCCTCGCCCGCCCCGTGCGACATCCCCCGCCGAGGGGAGGCTGGCGGGGGCGACTCCCGGGGGTACTTCGCTTCTCCCGCCCTCTGTGAGGCTTGCGCTGTGGCAATGCACCGCCTGGTCTGCGCTCAGCCTCCACTGCTGTGGAGTCACAGCGCCTGCGCAGGTGGCAGGCCAGACCAGAAACGGTTCGCTCATGACCTCACGGAGGAAAAGCAGAAACCACAGGGCGGCGCGGAGTGCTGGCTTCCCGCAAGCGTCACCGTTGGAGGAGTCGCTTCGCCGCCGGCATCCGCAAAGAGGACCTCCCCCTTCTCAGCGGTCCCTTCCACAAGGAAAGCGGCGGGGGGCGAATCCCGAAGCTACACGGCCTCTCCCGCCCTGTACACTAGCAGGCAGCACGGAATCATCAAGCTCACAGCCTAATTTGGGATTGAGCCCTCGGGCAGCAGATTTGATCTTCAAACTCGGTTCGCACGAGTACTTGGGTGAGCTCATCGCCAATTGCACTGGAGGCTAAGCCCACGACGAGGACCGTCAGGCAAGAACACATACGCTTTGCATACAGAAGGAGGTGGATGCAGTTGCGATGGGGCCGAGGCTTTTTGTTGCGTTTTCTACCATGTTGAGGCCTCCGAGTGCGTCCTCGTCGTCACGGCTGAATAGGCCTTACAATTCTGGTCAAATCGCACCCGTGAAGATGTCCGCGGGGTGATGTTTGAGATGCGCCCTCATTTCTATCTTGGGCTTGCCAGGAAAAGCAGGAGGACGAAGAGTTGGTGGAAGGGGGTGATGAGGATATTGCTGGTGATGGTGTTGGTGCTGATGCTGATGTCTCTGATGTTGCTGCTGATGATGATGACGATGGTGCTGACTATGATGATGATGATGATGATGATGATGATGATGATGATGATGATGATGATGATGATGATGATGATGATGATGATGATGATGATGATGATGATGATGATGATGATGATGATGATGATGATGATGATGATGATGATGATGATGATGATGATGATGATGATGGTGATGGTGATGGTGATGGTGATGGTGATGGTGATGGTGATGATGGTGCTGATGCTGATGCTGATGTTGATGCCGATTCTGATGATTATGATGATGATGCTGATGATGATGATGATGATGATGATGATGATGATGATGATGATGATGATGATGATGATGATGATGATGACGAGGATGAGGATGAGGATGAGGATGAGGATGAGGATGAGCATGCAGAGCAACACGGAGGTAACAAGAGGCCCCAAGAAGCCCCCACTAGCTCCAAGAGAGACCCCCAGGAGGCCCCCAAGTGGTCCCAAGAGGCCTCCAAGCGGCCCCCAAGGTGCCCGCAGGAGGCTTCGCCAGATGGAGGGGGGAATTCTTCCAGCTTGGGTAGAGGGAGGAGTACCCCCCCTTCCCCGAAGGGCGATCAAGGGGTGGGTGGGAATGATCGATCTGAGCTACCTGCGCCCAGATGGGCGGTGGGATTTCAGTATATGGCGACATGGGGACTCACATGGATCATTCGGAACACCGTCCACCGCACCACAGACTGTCACGCAAGCTCGTCATGCGTAGACCAACTTACAGATGTAGTACCTAACGTCAATCCAGTGGATGGCAGCGCAGCGGATGTCAGCACCGACGCACTGCCAATTCCTACGGGGCAGGTCATAATGATGTCGATGGGCCCGTCATCAAGATGAGCCTGCTACGTGCCAGCTTCCCGTCACGAGGAATAAGGAAGTGGCGGGTACCTTTCTGGACTACGAGTCCAAACGGTTCTATCATACCAATTTGCGAATGACCTTCTGAATTGCGTTGTCGATTTACCAGCCGCTGGGAGGGAGGACCGAAGGGAGGTGGAGAGGGGGGAAGGGAGGGAAGAGGGGGAGAAGGAGGAGGAGGAGGAGGAGGGACAGATGGGAGGATGAGGAAGACGAGGAGGATGGGGAGGAGGAGGAGGGGGAGGGGGTAGAATGAGGAGGAGGGGGGGGAGGTGGGTGGGGAGAGGGTTCGGAGGCCGACCACTTTGCGCTTCAAGCGGCTGGGCGCGCGCACCGCGATTGACTGTCCTGGGTTCTGGATGCGTTTGCTCCTGATGTCGATGCCGCTGATGGAGACTGGCTTGAGCCGGAACGGTGAAGGAGGGGCCATGTGAGAGGGGTGAGGACGGTAGAGGGAGGGAGGCAGGAGGAGGATGGAGGAGGAGGAGGAGGAGGAGGAGGAGGAGGAGGAGGAGGAGGAGAATGGAGGATGGAGGCGGGGTGCTGCAGAAAGAAAAGAGGGTTTATGAATGATGGGGGAGGAGGGAGTCGTCAGAATTCAGATGAGGAACGGAAAGGAAAGAGGGAGGAGGGAGGAGGGAGGAGGATGAAGGAGAAGGAGGATGAGCTGGAGCAATGAACGATCAACACAAAAGCAAATAGAGGAGGAACATCAGGAGCTGCTGTGCTCCTGCCCCCTCCGTCTTGCACGGCACTGCGGTGGACGTCACGAACACATCGTCTCCCAGGGGAGTGCGCAGCAGCATCAGAAGGACGAGGAGGAGGGTGAGGAGGTGGAGGATGGCGAGGAGGAGGAAGAGGAGGACAAGTGTAAACCCAAGACTCATTAACGATGCTGAAGTGCACCCTCTCTCCAAGATCCCTCTTCAGAGGCCCCTACAAGGGGCCATCTCCGTTGAGGAAGTCGCCTCGTTGGGGGGAGACCGTCTGAACATCTTGAAGCGTGCCAAAACACCATTCTCAGGATGTCAATGCCACGAGTTAACCTGACTGCTACGCCTTGGCGATCCTGAACCGTACCAGACCGCCATTCCTGGGACTTCAATTCTGCGAATGAAGATAACTGTTTCGCCCTGGCAAGACTGAACCGCTTCAAAACACGCTTTCTGGTACGTGCGACATGAGAATCAGTAATATTGTGACAAATGTTTAAAACGAGTGTGCGCGGCGCTAAGGCGAGAGCCACAGTTTGAAAACAAGCCGCCCTCAACCCGTGACATTCGGGCACATTTGTCGAAGGAATGTGCGTGGTGCCAAGGCGAGAGCCACATTTTGAAAACGTGCCGCCCTCAAGCCGTGAAGCTCGTGCAGGTCTTGGACACGACTGTGCTGGGCGCTATGGCGAAAGCCACAGTTTGAAGACCACCCGCCCTCAATTCATGAATCTTTTCGTTTTTGTCGATTGAGTGCGCGCAGCGCTCGGTCGAGGGCCACATGTTGAAAAGGAACCGCCCGCAGTCCGTGAAACTCTTGCAATGTGCTCGACAGAGCGTGCGCGGCGCTAAAGCGAGAGACACATGTTGAAAACGAGGCGCTCTCAATCCGTTAAATCTTACAATGGTTTAAAGCGATTGTGCGCGGCGCAATGGCGAGAGCCACATTTTGAAAACCACCCGCCCTCAATCCGTTAAGCTCCTTTCAAATTTTGTAGAACGAGAGCGTGCGGCGCTAAGGCGAGAGCCACATGTTGGAAGTGCCGCGCCCTCCATTTGTGCAAGTGTCGTTAAAGTTTAAGTATCAGGCCATAAATGCTCAGGCGAAGCGCCCAGCCCGCCCTTTCGACCGGCCTCGGGGTGCGACAGGAAGAAGTTATCCGTAATGAACAGGAATGGATGACGGTGGGGTGGGGAGGAGGGTGCAGGAGGAGGGAGGCAGGATGGCTTGACGCGGTTCTGTGTCTTTCTCTCTCCCTCCCCGCCCCCGATTCCAGAGGCCTCGGAGTGGGGCAGACTTGCGATCTGGGCGCTGGTGTGGTGCGCACTGGCGATTGCGATGGCGGTCGTGCGCGGGCGCTGCAAGGCCCTCCTGCTGTGCTGCCGCCTCCTCCTCCTCCTTCGCCGGCTCCTCCTCGTCCTCCTCCTCGTCCTCCTCCTCCTCATCCTCCTCGTTCTACTCTTCCTTCTGTAGCTATTTTGGCTCAAGGTTCGGCCCACAGGACTGCCCTCCTCAGTTCTTCTCTCCCCGTTGTTTTCCGCGCCCGCGCAACGGGGCCCTGCGGTGAACCGCATCCGATAACCTTCGAGCTGCGCCATCAGCTGCTGAACACCCTCGCCCCCACGCTCGGCAAGCACGCGCAGAGCTTGGGGCAGGCAGCACGGGGACTCCGACGGCGTGGTGTTCTCAGTTCTCGAACTGAGCGCCGCTTGCGCCACCTCGACGCTGCAGTCCACGTCTCGCGGCACAACACCGAGCATATGTTTTTGTTAAGCCGTGGTTTCACGGATAATCGCGCAGAGGTCCGCTGCGAGAGCGACTCGGGTCAGGAAGTGCAAGGCTGCATGCTTGATGAAGTCTCCAACACGGACAGTGCCTCCAGCACGGACGATGGCCAGAGTGTGAACCAGGACGCGGAGGCACCGGCCGACTCGAAGGAGATCGATGGCGAGGTTGAGAACACAGCCATCAGCGATGGCGAGACGGCGCGATCGAGTTCACCCATCGTGGACCTCGGTTCCCTCTCCCACGCATTCGTGAAGTTGTGCGATGTGCTGCAAGCTGCCGATGTATCCGATGCTCCCGGTAGTCGTACCAGGGCAGCGGTGACTGGATACGCGTGGGGCTCATCCATTCCGCGATCGATGAGGTTTTCTGTGAGGAAGAGCTAGAAGCCGGAGAGCTCTGGATCTGAGACACTTGCAGAGAAAGTGCGATGACAATGGGAGCTCCGATCCCCGGCGACTCGTGGCAACGTGTCCTCCCGAGGTTTTGCATGAAGACGAGCAGCGATACTGGTGGCTGCCTCGAAGACCGCCATCAGCACCGCGCTCAGTCATCCTGCGGCACGTGAGACCTCATTCAGTTTTCACCTGTGTGTCCGTGGTATTGCGCACCGTGTTTCATGCATTTGTGCAGTACAGCCTTCAATAGTGTCGTGTCCGCTTCTTGTCTCTACCCCACTGTTGCTCTTGCCCGTCTTCACCTTTCGCTGCCTCCTGGCTTCCCCGCTCTTCGCTTCCTCTGTGCACCGATGCAGGCGTGATTACGTAGTAGATCGATCTAATTGCCGTTTGCGATTGTCGAGCTCGGGCCTCAGCCATTGGAGCTACGCCTCAGCTCACCCCGCGAATCGTGGTATCGGAGGTGAGGGGGTGAGATCGAAGTGGAACGGAGAGCCCCCCTACAGGGAAATCGATTTCGGTTTCGTGTTCGTGCGTGCCGTGCGGGCGGGCGAGGCGAAGCTGCGTGGGCGGGCGAGAAAAAGTCTCCTGTGGCTGAGGCGCGGCCGGACCAAATGACTCCCTTCCGGGCGGCCGGTGGCCCGCGGTGTCCCGCCGGTGTCCCGCGAAAGTCCCGTGTGGCTGAGGCGCGGCCGGACCAAATGTCTCCCTTCCGGGCGGCCGGTGGCCCGCGGTGTCCCGTCCCGGGTGTCCCGCGGTGTCCCGCGGTGTCCCGCGGTGCCCCGCGGTGTCCCGCCGGTGTCCCGCGGTGTCCCGCGATGATGATGATGATGATGATGATGATGATGATGATGATGATGATGGAATGATGATGATGATGATGATGATGATGATGATGCTGATGATGATGATGATGATGCTGATGATGATGCTGCTGCTGATGATGATGACGGTGATGATGATGATGATGGGATGATGATGATGATGATGTGATGATGACTGATGATGATGATATGAGATGATGGTGTCCCGATGATGATGCTGTGCTGATGATGATGATGCGATGAATGATGATGGCTGAAAGGTGTCCCGATGAGGAGGATGATGAGGATGATGATGATCATGATGATTATGTTGATGATCATGATGATGACGATGATGGTGTCCCGATGATGATGGGTATGATGATGTTGATGTTGATGATGCTGATTATGATTGTGTCCCGATGATGATGATGTTGATGATGATGAGGTTGATGATGATTATGGCGTCCCGATGATGATGATTATTATGATGGTGATGATGATGATGTTGATGATGATGGCGTCCCGATGGTGATGATGATGATGATGATGATGTTGATGCTGATGTTGGTAATGATGATGATGGTGCCCAGATGATGACGATGATGATGATGCTGATGATGATGTTGATGATGCTGATGATGATGATGTCGATGATGAGGATGAGATGATGATGATGGTGTCCCGATCGATGATGATGATGATGATGATGATGATGATGATGATGATGATGATGATGATAACGATGGTGATCATGATGGTGTCCCGATGATGATGCTGCTGCTGATGATGATGATGACGATGACTGTGTCCCGATGTTGCTGATGATGATGATGCTGATGATGATGATTGTGATGATGGTGATGATGATGATGGTGGTGTCCCGATGATGTTGATGACCGTGATGATGATGTTGGTGTTGATGATGAGGACGATTTCCCGATTATGATGATGTTGGTGATGATGATGTTGATGTTGATGTTGTTGTTGTTGATGATGATGATGACGTTGATTGTGAGAGCGGTTGTGATATCGATAGTGAGTTCGATAGTGAGACCGAATGTGATATCGATTGTGAGATCGATTGTGAGATCGATTGTGAGACCGATAGTCAGATAAATTGTGAGATATATCGAGTGAGATCGATTGTGAGATCGATCGAGGGAGATCGATCGAGCGAGACCGATACTGAGATCGATAGTGAGATCGATAGTGAGACCGATCGAGTGACACGTTGGTTCCTCCCCCCCCCGAACCTCCTTATCACCCGAAGTGTGGTCGTATAGGTAGTGCAGTATCTGACCCTGGCGTCTGGCCCCCCCATGGCCGAGTGTCCTCATCGGCCTCCTCCTCTACTCCGCCTCCTCCTCCTACTCCCCTCCTTATCCTCCTCTCCTCTTTCCCCTCCCCTCTTTCTCCTCCCTCTTCGCCTCCCCTCTCTTCCTCCCCTCCTCCTTCTTATTCTTTCTTTTCTCCTCCTCCTCTCCTCCTCCTCCTCCTCCTCATCCTCCACCTCCTCCTCCTCCTTCCTCCTCTCCCTCCTCCCCCTCCTCCTCCCTCCTCCTCCCCTCATCCCCCTCCTCTCCTCCTCCTCTCCTCCTCCTCCTACTCCCCTCCTCCTCCTCCTCCTCCTCCCCTCCTCCTTCTCTCCATCCTCCATCTTCCTCCTCCTCCTCCTCCTACTCCTCCTCCCCTCTCTCCTCTTCTTCCCCTCCTCCTCCTCCTCCTCACTCCTCCTCTCCTCCCCCTCATTCTTCCTCCCCATCCTCCTCCTTTCTCTCCTGCTCCTCCTCCCTTCCTCCTCTTCTCCCTCCTTCCTCTCCTCCTCCTCCTCCTCCCCCCTCATTTCCCCTCTCCTCCTCCTGCTCCTTCCTCCTCCTCCTCCTCCTCTCCTCATCTCCTCCTCCTCCCTCTCCTCCTCCTCCTCTCCCCTCCTCCTCCTCCTCCTCCTCCTCCTCCTCCTCCTCCCCCTCCCCCTCCTCCTCCTCCTCATCCTTCTCCTCCTCCCTCCTCCTCCCCCATCCTCCCCCTCCCCTCCTCTCCTAATCCCCTCCTCCTCCCCCTCCTCCTCCTCCTCGGGCCGCCCCGGGCAGCCGAGGCGGGCGGCTCCTGGCCAGCGGTTGGCTGGGAGCTGCGGGCGGGCGCCCGAGCTCTCCCTCCCCCCCGAGACTGCCCGCGACTTGGGTCTGGAGCTCAACGCCGGCATGATGCACGACAGCGACATCTCGGGGGTGGACAGACCTCCTACCCTGACACGTCGATTAGCGAATTGGCCGTTTTCGGTTCGCGAGAGGGCGTCGCGGCCGTCATTTTTGCGGGTCCAGGTCCGTCGGTTTCGGTCCCAGGTCAACGCCGGCATGATGCTTAGGTCGGGCGTGTCCCCCTACAAGGGGAACGTCGACGAAAAATAAAAATAGAAAATGCCCCCAAAACATAGTCTCAAAATAGTCGGGGGAGTATTTGTTGTACATGTTTTGCCCATTTGGGGGTATTTTGGGGGTATCTTTTATTTTCCGTCGAACATCCCCCTGTAGGGGGACACGCCCGACTTAACATGATGCACGAGTGCGACATCCTGATGGCTTACGTCGAGGCATCCCTCCCCCAGCTCCTGCTTCCGACGCGGCGGGCTCCAGGGAGCTCGCCTGTCCAGGATGGCCGACAGCCTGCCCGTTCTTGCCCCGTTTGGTCGACCACCAGCTCGCAACGGTGGTCGCACGCCCGATCGCCCACGGCTGCGACGGCATGCCGACGCCAGCTCCGGTCGCCGACCAGCGCCGCGGCGCCTTTCCGTGCGCGTCAAGCTGGGCAGTCTCTACGGACCCTCGCGCGAGAGTGACACCGCAGGCATGGCCATCAACGAGGTCAACGAGCTGATCGAGGCCCAGGGAGGCGGTCCACCTGGCAACGTGGGCGGACAGACGATGGAGCGTGGCGGGGGCGGCCATCGAGGCCCACCCAACGGAACAGCTGCGCAGGACAACCACACCACCCACGACTCACCGACAAGAAGGGCAAACAGCGATACGCTTAGTGAGCCTATGCACCAAGGCTCACCACCCACAGTACCAGCACAACGACAACACCATCAACAAGATCGACCTCATCGTGGCAGTCCTCGGCCACTACTCACATCGGTGCACTATTGCCGACGCGCGTCCATGGCTGACAACCGCCAATAATAACCAGCAGCCGACGCGGGCACCAAACCGCATGAATATCGCCGACTCTAGCAGCACGATGCCCGCCGACGACATCGGCCACACTAGCCCCCCTCGCGAGGGAGAATGGCTGGACAACGCCATGGATCTGCACAGAGCAGTTTCGCACCATCAAAGCAGACACGATGCTCGGAGCAGAGAGCATGGCAACCGTGGCCTCCATGCACAAACACATACCAGCTGGACCAGATCAACTCCCCAGCGAATCAGGAGGCGCACCCCTCACGACGGGACCTGCCTACTGGCATACTAGTGGCCAATCAGTGCGCCAATCAGTGCGCCATCACCGAATATTGGTACTCATTGGGGCACTAGTAGCAGGACAGCTGGGCCGCATAGATTGCCAATCCGAGGCGGCATATGTCACCACGCAGCACAGTACTGCGGCGAGCTGAGCTACAACACGCTATGCTATGCAGCGGATCCCCCAGGGGTTTTCTCAACCACGGATGCTACACCAAACGTTGTGCTGCGAACGTGAATGCTACACAGACCTGAATAGAGTTCCCTCATGCGCCCCCTTGTTGAGGGCCTCAATTACCAACTTCGAGTTGGGGCCTCGGGAGTAGCAACGTGAAGAACCTCCTCTTCACGGTCTCGTAGGCCCTCAACCAACCGGCTCACCTTCTTTCAGCCCTCCCCCCCGCTAATTTCCCTCCAACCTTTTCTTTCTCCCTCGTGTGGCGGTCGGAGGGGCTGAATTGCACAGAGGGTGTGGGAGGGAATCGGACGCTCGCTGCAGGCCTTCGTGGCTTGGGCCAGGGAGGCCACAGCGCACAGACGACGCTAACGCCGCCACTGTGCTACCCTGTTAGCATCAGCGAGCACGCATCTATCCTGTGGGTTGCCACATCCCCCCCAACCTTGATCGGACAGCCTCCGCGCAGTCCCCACCCACTGCTACGAAGTCAGCAGCGGCGTTTCTGCTTATTGCCGCATTCTCCCTTCAACCTGCCTCCACGCATTATTTATTTCTCCCCTTAGTGTTCTCCTTCCCCCTCGCGTGGCGGCGGGAGGGGTCGGGTCATATTGAGGGGCTTTCACTGCAGGCCCTCCTGGCTAAGGCCAGCGGGGCCGCAACGCACAGACGGCGCTGTCACCGACCCCTATGGCGCGCAGTCAGCACCATTTTTGTTCGGACAGCCGCCACACATCAGCTACCACTAGCTGGCGGGGGTTGGAGATCAATGGGGGTGCGGGACACTGGAGGCACACCACGGGCCATCCAGGCTAGGGCCAGGGAGGCCGCAGCGCCCGGACGACGTTCCGGGCTCCACCTTCTGGCTAGATAGAATCATTATTCTGTGTGCTGTCACATTTTCCCATCAAGCTGCCTCATCGCAGTTCCGACCCAGATTCAGCATACCAATAGCAGACGGGGGATGGTGGTCGTGGGGGTGGGGGGAAACTGGACGCTCACTGCAGGCCCTGCTGGCTAGGGCCTGAGAGGACGAGACGACGCTCTCGGCGACACCTCGCCACGCAGCCAGCGTCAGCGCTTCTGTGTGTTGCCACGTTCTCCCCTGAACTTGCCTCCGCGCAGCTCCACAACTACGGGAGCCACCGCCGCGGAGAGCACAAACCTCCCGCGCTTCCCGTGGACCCCCTCACACGGCCACCAGCCTCGCGGTCTGGGTACCCCTGCGCCTGCCTGGCAGGTGGATGTACAAGTTGCGGGGCTGAGGGACGCGTGCGGGGCTTCCTATGGGCAGGGGGAGCGGCCTTTGTGCCCTCCACCTTGGCCAGCGTGGCACCGCTCACCAGCGTGCTGCCTCACCCGCGGAAGGCTCAAACCTCCCTCGCGCGCGGCTGAACCCTCCCTGGCGGCCCCGCGGGTCAACGTACTGGGGCCCCCATCCCTGCTGGCAGGCGGGGGATTCCGTCGTGGACCTGGGGGACGCTTGTGGGGGGTCCTACGAGTGGAGGGAGCGGCCCTCGGATTTTCTTCCGTGAAGCTGGCGGCCCCACGGACGCGGTGCCCCCTCGCAACGCCCGGGCAGGCCGTCGAGCCCCTGATCGCAGGCGAGGCCGCCCTGGTCCAGGCCGGGCGCTCCCACCAGCAGCCCGCCGCGCCCATGAGGAGGATGAGGAGGAGGAGGAGGAGGCGGAGGAGGCGGATGAGGAGGAGA